AGCCAAATCGATTCAAAATATTACAAATTGCTTTATTTCAGCCTAAAATTAAGATTGAAGTATAATTGCTTCAATTGCGTCAAAAATCGAAAAAATTAAAAACTTCATAATTGTCTATTTGCACTCTTGGATGTTCAAAAGACTTAATAAAGCACAAAAACATTGTAAAAATGCGAAAAATAAATTTTTGAAAAATTTTGTGTAAAATATATTGAAGGAAAACATTGAAATTATTGGCGGCGGAGGTGGCTCAGCGGCATAAGGTAGGTCCCAAGTTCGAGCCCCGGTCAAGTCGGCAATTTTTCTCAAATTCAAATTCAAATATAATTCAAATAAATGGCAAAAGAGGGCAGGCGCATAAGAGCGCGATCTTTAAAACATGTGCACATGTTCTAATAAGTATAAGAGAATAAATACTAACAAAAATAAGCGGACGTATAAGAGCGCGAACTTTAAATAAAACAAGTGAAAATAGTGTAAAAGTAAAAATAATAATAATAGTAAGTAATATAAGTAAACAAAAAAAGGTAAGTTACAAGTAAAATAAATGAAAGGTAAGTTTTGCATTAAAAATTATTTTTTTTTTATTAATTATTGTTATTATTACTAATAACACAAATAATATAAAGTAAACTAATATAAAGTATAATAAAGTAAAAGTAGAATGACATGTATACAGGGTGTTAAAAAAAGAAATATTTCAGGAGGTAGTAGTACGAACCAAAACAAACAAAAAATCTTAATAAACATAGGTCCGCAAAGTAACAGAATATTTTTTAACACCCTGTATATGTACATTATAAATAAGAGCGCATTTTTTTTAGATAGGTAAACACCCCCTAAACTCTATCTTTTCTGCGCCACTGGTCTTCAATTAATTTTGAGTAATAGAATTATTCTAAAACAATTGTTTGTCAGAATTTCAAGGACGCCTTGCTAATTTCGAGTTTTTTTAAGCCAATAAGGTGATTTTAAGTCACATAATGTTAAATTATCACAAATTATTGGCACTTGATTAGTTTTTTTAAAATAAATTGTTTTTTTTACGAAATGTTCTAATTTTAATCCAAAAAAAATTCAACTGTAAAATTGATCCATTTAACGTTTTTTGCATTTCTAGAGGTGCTAAAGACTTAGAAAAATGCATAAAACGTTATTTGGTCAAGTTTAAAAAATTACGAATTTTTCGAGTTTGTGAAGGTGAGCGGTAGTAAAATCGTAAAAATAGTTAATTTATCTTAAGTTGAAAAAACGCTTAAAATATTAAAAATCTATCGGATAAGATAAGATGCAAATGCACTTATATAGGTGTAAAAGTGAAAAATTTTTTTTTTAATTTTGCGTATGAAACAGTAGAAAATTAATTAAATTAATTTAAATCTTTAAATTTTAGTAATAGCAGCCAATTTTTTCTTATTTTAATTCTAGGACTTTTCACACGTTAAAAACAAATAAAAAAATACTTTATTTTATTTATAAAAATCAAAATTTCTAAAATTAAACCAAATGACGTTTTTTGAATTTTTAATAGTTCTAGAAACAAGTAGATTAGAATAGAATAAAACTTCATTTATGTGGATAAAACGTTGTTGGGTCAAGGAAAATAGAATTTTATGAGTTTTTAAAGATGAAAATCTGAAATAAACGTAAAATCGTGCGCTAAGCACAATGCGATTGGTTAAAATGCTCTACGATGAGTGATTTTTCTGATATTTTGCAATATCAGACTCAGGTGCTTAAAACAAAAAAAATAAATCAAATTTTTTTATCTATTTTTTTATTTATTAACTTTACAACAATCTCTGCATCAAGCTTAAAGAGAGCACCTGAACTAAATCCCAGATAACAAACATTCAAAGTGTAGCTAATAAAACAGCCCTAACGAGGGAAATAACTCCGGTTCAACCCACTTCCTGGAGTAAAAAACTAACCAACATCAATCCCAATCCCACACTTGTTAATACGGCCTTTCTTTGTAAGCGGAAACCCAAGTCTGTTAGGAAATGTGCAACATAAGAACGGGCTTATGACCGAACTTGTGCGAACATTCACAAAAGACAGGCAGTAAATGTCTGGTAGTTTCAGCATCTCCGAAATGAAAAGCAATTTGATGTTCTCTATGCAAATGAAGTCACTAAACTTGATATTTGCAATGCAAAACTACTAAATGCTTTTACAGACGTAAGTGATTCTCTGAAAAAATGCCTCGTGTCTCGCAGGTTTTGGGCATTTACCTTATTGCAATGCAATTAAATTAATTGCGAACGAATGAGAGTCACAGAACAAAGGATTTGACGAGAAGTTTTAATTTTTTTGCCAGACTTGACTGTTTGATTTACGACAAATTACTAAAAGTAACTCATTTTTATATTGTAATAATGGCCGAAGGGGATGGGATCAATTAAGCAGATGGGATTTCGAAATTACAGAAACGAGAGATCTGCTTTCTGATTGATTTTTTTCATTATCTGGATTTTATCTCGATTTTTTAGTTATAAAAGGGAAATGAGGAGGTTTAAGACTGTCGTGTTCACCAGTTTCGAGTTATAAAAATGCAAACTATCTAATTTATCTACAAATCTTAAAATTTTAAATTTAAGTTTTCTAAATTCGTTTCTTGTAAAAACAAGGATTCTAATATTTCAAATGTACAGTTGGTATTGTTGTCGGTTGTTTGGATTCAGGAATTCTAAAAACAGCTTCTGATCTGTAGTTGTTATTGAGTTTACTTTTCTACGATTTTGTAAGTAAAAATTTTCAAAAG